AAGTTTTTTTTTCTTTTTTTCTTTTTTTTTTTAGACAGAAGAGGTTTTTGATGTAAGGGTTTTAACTTTAAAGTCAGTCAGTTATCAGAGAAACTCCACTCTGTTTCAACTGGTTTCATTCAGAGATTCTGAATGAAAGGGATTCTGAAAACAGCACTAGTTTTTTTTCCCCCAACGTTGTAGTTTTTTTTATGAAAGAAAATGTACTTGTGTTGAGATGCAATTAAAAAAATCCAAATATTTAGGTCAATAAAAATATGATTTAAAGGCTTTGTAATTGTATTAATTGAGATTAATCAAATAGCACATTTTGAACCAATAAGCACGTTTTTTCAGTACAAATAATTTTTTCATCTTCGATGTTCAACGCTCTTTCCTATTTGTTTCAGTTGTTGCCAGCGCTACAGAAATAAGGAAATTATTATTTTTTAAATGCATTAATTTGTCCGTAAACAATTGATCAAAATGACCACGGTGAAGTTTACATAAATAATAAAAGAGAAAAATTATGAGAATGATGACGAAGTGAAAGAAAACTTCAACTTGGTGAAACTTTCCAGAACTGTGGAGTGAAATTAAAAATTTAATAACAGTGATCATCAACTGGCGACCCGCAGGACAAATCACATTTATTGAACTGTCCAATCCATGACTGAACTCCAATGTTAGAAAAAAATGTGATTTTTATTTCATTTTATATGAGCATCTGATACTCAAGGTGTTTGTCCAGAAAATAATCTGACCCTCAGATATTGTCGGTAACCCCGGGCCTACACTGCAACTGTCATCCAGGAAAAACAAATGGATTTGTTCCATGTTTGCGATGAAAAAATAATTCTCAGTATATTACAGCAGTTTAGTAAAACCCATGTCATGTCGATAACTTTCCCTTCAACCGTTCATAAATCCCCGTTGTTTCGGACATGAAATCCTGATTCTGTCTAACGCTGTCGTCAGTTCCGGATCAGATGGACCGATGTGGGAATTCTGCCAGAAGGTCACGGCAGCATTAGCATTTCTCACAGCGCAACCACATCTGTGGTATTTCTAATTAATGACAGAAGGAGAATTAACATATTTTTTAAAAAAGTCATCAGTCTTCAGCGCCGTATTAGCGGAGCAATTTACTCATCGTCTGCGGCCGCGCGGAGCAGCAGTGGCATTTCAAAATTCACCGGAGACGTTTTCAAACTTTTTCAAATGTCTTTTCTTTCCTTTATGAAAAAAAAATTTAATCAAGGTGACACCAGTGGGAATAACCTGAGAATCACTGGTGGTTACACACTGATTGCTGCTGGTAGAACGACACGATCGCGCGTGTGTGTGTGTGTGTGTTGGTTCATGTTGGGACATCACAACAAGGCTCCCCGCAGATAGCACCAGTATGGGAACTGGGACAGACAGCTCAGAAATGTGAAAACACACACACACAAGTGTGCACAGACACACACTTTTTTGCAAATTAAATTGCCAGAGGACACACACACACACACACACAAACTTTTACAAATGGAACTGCCAGAGGACACATGCAAATAAGTACACACACACAGAAAACTGGACGCGCCACTCACACACAGACACACACACACACCAATACTGATGCAGTCACCCATTCTCACTCTATAACATATAAACCTTATCTATCACAATATATGTCTAATCCTAATCTGTACCCTAACTTCCTAATCCTAATCCTAATCTTGGTCAAATGTCCTCTCGTTCACTGTGGACCTGCATAATGTCCCACAAAAACACATTTACCAAAACAATGTCCTCACAAGTATAGCTCCACCAGAGTGCACACACACACACACATACACATGTATACACACAGAGGGGACAGGGATTCCCACAGTGACTGGGCCAGACTCCCAACCCGAACAGGCAGCTCAGTGGACTGGAAGACTAACGTTACTCCAGGCGGGCTCTGGATTAGATCAACTTTGGAAAATTTCACACTGTGACACAGAGATGAAGATTGGTGGAATGAGGAAGACGAGGAAGTTTAACAAAGGAGGAAATTAAGGGAAGGCGGGGGAGAGAGGAGGGGGGGAGTGGATAGATGTCCTTTAAAGTTAGGAAACGCTTAACAAACCCTCAACCTGAT